CCTTATATCAGAAGTTTAAACTCATATGGTTTAAAACGCATGATTTCAGTGCGATAAACATGATAATCAGAACCAAAACAGATGTTTTTAGCAGATAGGAGCTGTAAAGGCGCAGCTCTATTCTAGAAAAGGGGGTGGGGAGCAGCAGCTCATTTGCATTTAAAGACACAGGCCCGCAAAAAAGGTCCACTGTGATGTGACCCCCTCTCTCTCTCTCTCTCGCTCTCTCGTGCGCTCTCTCACGCTCTCTCTCGCGCGCTCTCTCACTCGCTCGCGCTCTCTCTCTCGCGCTCTCTCTCTTTCTCGTAGCAATGCACGACGCTGAGAAAGAGAAGATTACAGATATTAAAAAGAAACTTAAATAAAGAAAAATAATCATGTGCATCACATAGGGTCTTTGGATCACAATCATACAGATACATCATGTGAATTCATCCGTTACATGAAATACGGCCCTAATTGAATCACTGCAAAACTTATGCGACCTACCGCTGTGACGTCTCATGCAGACTGGGAAGCAGCAAAAGCGCCGCTTTTCTATCGCGAATGTGCCGAATCTGCTGATGTAATTACAACCGCTAGGTGATAGAGAAGGGTAGGTGGAGGCCAGGGGAGCGCGGAGCTCTCGTGCCTCTGTAGCGGTGTGTTTTCTGCGTTGTGTCGCTAAGCTGGATATAGGCTACAGCAGTCAGCTTAATTAAATGGCGCAACAGTCAGCTCTCTTTTAACACAGACTTTTAAGAAGGGATGGATGTTTGCTTCAAGTGATAGGCCAGATAAGTGAAATTATATTATCTTGCTGTATGCATGGCCTTTTCTTTACGTTTTCTGACTAAAAGCAACCAAAAGGCCATTTTAAAGTGGTTAAGCAAATAATATAATAATAATAATCGGCAGGGATCCCAGACGTTACAATAACCAATAACGTTACAATTAGTGTGCCTCCTCTATTTTAAAACCCACGAACCGCCACTGCTCCAAAGAGAAAGGAAAACTTGAAATCGCATCATATGACCCCTTTAACTGAAATCTAGTTGATCATCTTTTTTTTTTTTTAAATCGCAGATATTTATATCTATTGCATTTAATAATAGGGACTTCCCTTCATTTTTTTCCTACGATTTCTATTTAAATGGTTCCCAAAAAAAGTAGCTAAATTTGTCACATTCATTCATCTGTCGTCATTTAATCGCTATTGGTGTATTACATATAGTATGTTCATTTATATTATGTTTATTTACAGAAGTAGGTCTATTATCCCATCATACCTCAAATTCCTTTACAATGCGCGACTCATATTTCGTCTGTTTGATGAGTGTGTTCTAAATTAACAATCTTTAAAGAGCACGTTATTTCTAGTTCATGTTTGATATTATGGACTTATTTTATTCTATATACGATATTCCCCTTGAAAAATAAGAAATCGTATTCAATGTTAACAACATGACATCCACTTCTGTCACTCATAAACGTTACTAGGCAACCTGAAGCGGGAACGCCTACTAGCGACCAAGCTCTCCGGGCAATGACGACATGTAGAGACAAAACTCGGGACATTTTCAGATATTCACAGCGTTAGTGGTTGACAAACGGCCAGGGAATATGGTTAACGCTTTTGTTTTGTTCTGTTTGTGCTTGTGTCGTCTGGTTGGTAAGTTATGAATGAATTTTTATGACTTATTCTATTCTTGTAAGCTCGTTGTTTACTGCTTACAAAAATTAACCATGTTCGTATTATAATAAAACCATTTTTGGCGTATTGATTTCCATTTGTGTAATCACAAAAATACCATAGTTAAACTATGGTTTTTGTACCAAAACCATGGTTAATTTGTGGTTACCATGGAATAACTACAATAACCATGATTTATTATTATTATTATTATTATTATTATTCGTAGTAAATACATGGTTAAGTTTCTCAGACATATCTTTATAGAAGTAACGTTAGGGTAATTGCATTTGTTAGTTTTGGAGTGTGGTGAGTACTTTTCCTGAAGGAATTCATCTAGAAATATACAAATAAACCATCTTAAATTAGTTAAATGCCTCTGAAAACATGTTAATATTGATGTCAATTTATTTCGAAACTAACTTGTCAGCTGAATAAGACTAAATCAGATGATCCACAGAGTGGATGCTTTATGTTTCACTTTTGTTAGCATGCAAAAACGAGCGCTTAAGAAATATCACGTGACACTCAAAAAGAAGAATTGCTTGAGTCCATTAATGAGGAACAAATCATTTCAGAACCAATGTACGAGTTCTGCAAGCTTGCAAATCTTCAACAGCACAGACCTTGTATAAATGCTATTTATTGTAGGGATGTAGTCTAGATTGGGGCCAAATCCCTGGTGCCCTTAATGGGCTGTGTTGTCCATGAATTGATTTAATGGGCCATGTGTGCCTCAGATCCTCAATTTGTGTCTATATTTTATTAAAGATAATAATAAAAGTTCTGTTTTAATTATACTGATCAGCCTTATTTTGTCATTTTATGTTAATGTAGTTATTGTTATGGTTATCTTTTTAGTTATCGTTCTTGGTGTGAACGGGCCTTTAGTCTGTGACAAAATATGTTTCTGTTTGCTTTCTAGATGTGACCGATGCAGTGAGGAGAATATCAGTGATGAAGGGAAATTCTGTCACTCTAAACACTGATGTTACTGAAGTACAGAAATATTTGTTGATACAGTGGATGTTTGAAAGCACAAGAATAGCTGAATTTAACAGGCTTACGCAAACCATCTCAACCTATGATAGTGCTGATGGAAGATTCAGAGACAGACTGAAACTGGGTCTGACTGGATCTCTGACCATCACAAACACCAGAACCACAGACTCTGGACTTTATCAACTCACAATTGGCGGCGAAGAGACCAAATACAAGAGTTTTAATGTTACAGTCTATGGTGAGTAGAACATTATGGTTTAATTTGCACTAACCTTCATTTGAATTATATATTTGGCATTGTAACATTTTTCAATGTTTCTTTTCTATTATTTTCAATATTCCTTACATCCTCATTTTATGATATTAGCTGCTTTAACTGCATTGAAATATTTTTTTTGTAAATAAAGATCAGAAGTGTGTGTGATGAGACTAACGTCACAGTATCATCTGTCATTACCAGAGACTCCACGAAATTCTTTATCATCAGAAAGTTCATCAAGCTCAAATCGTGTGACATCCAGCTCTGTGGTGAACAATTCAACTGTCAATCAAACTGAGAATAACAACTATACTGAACTCCATCAGCCAAGTTCAGGTACGTAACTGATGATATTACCATTTATTTACAAAGCCGAACTCTGTCAGACGCGTTCAAGCAAATCAGTGTGATTTTAGTTTTTCACTCTGAAATCCACTGTTATTTTAGTGGCCTGATTGAAGTCAAAACCCCACACATATTCATTGCATTGGTGCGGTACATATTAACTGCATTGAAATATTTTTTTTGTAAATAAAGATCAGAAGTGTGTGTGATGAGACTAACGTCACAGTATCATCTGTCATTACCAGAGACTCCACGAAATTCTTTATCATCAGAAAGTTCATCAAGCTCAAATCGTGTGACATCCAGCTCTGTGGTGAACAATTCAACTGTCAATCAAACTGAGAATAACAACTATACTGAACTCCATCAGCCAAGTTCAGGTACGTAACTGATGATATTACCATTTATTTACAAAGCCGAACTCTGTCAGACGTGTTCAAGCAAATCAGTGTGATTTTAGTTTTTCACTCTGAAATCCAGTTATTTTAGTGGCCTGATTGAAGTCAAAACCCCACACATATTCATTGCATTTGTGCGGTACATATTATTCATATTTCTGCTGGTGATTGGCCTATAAGGGACTGCATACACCAATTAAAACTTGCCTTCATGCATTTGGCAGATGCTTTATCCAAAGTGAAATTACATTGCATTCAAGGTATATGTATGAACAGCTCATGCATTCCTTGGGATTTATGGTTTATGGATATTGGCGCATTTGGTTGCTTTTTTGTCAGAGTTTACAGGAATAGAGAACAGACTGCAGATGAGTGACAAAGAAGTGAATCTGGTGTCTGGTGTGTGGGAGCCGTTGGGGGGGGGGGGTGTTTCGGTGCCCCCAGTGCCCAGGGCTGCTCTAAAAACATTAGTAAATGATCATGGAGAATGAATCACCTAATCACACACATTTTTAGGAGTGAATAAAAAAACAGTTTAGAATTGCCTATATTCTACAGTCATAGATAATGTTATTTGGCTAAGCAAGGAAAGTGTGCATGCAGACAATCAAATTTGCACACGTTGCCTTCCCAGTAGATGCTTGAACTCCTAATAATAACCCACAAAACTGGCACTTGTAAGTCTGTTTAAAAGAGACTTAAATGCACAATCCTGATTCAGCGTTTTTCTTTTTTCAGACAACATCCACTGTTGTAGTTTCACTGAAGCTATGATCCGATTGGTTCTCTCTGCTTTGTTGGGCGTGGCTACAGTTGCTGTGCTGGTTTATGACATCAGATCAACACGAAGTGAACTGATCAGAACAGAAGAGACTAAACATTACCATCAGACTCTTGTAAAATCAGACCAACAGTATGAATTGAGCAGAAGGATGAGTTCCATATATGTCCAGATATAAAGCAAAACATCAACTGATGCTGTGCACCTTTCCTGTTCCTTGCACAGCTATTATAAGCTCTCAGTATCCTTGAAATGAATATCACAGAGGCAGTTGGTGTACATTTTTGGTGAATTTTTTTAAATAAAGATTTGGTTTTACAATAGCGTGGAGCTTGTTTTTGTTATATCTGTTCGTTTATAACGTCATAAAGGATACAGTTCAAATAGCAGTTGTGTGGATATGTGATTCACTGATTTCACGTGATACATTTGCAGGTAAATTTGTGAATCGCCCCAGTTTCTACACGTCTACGGCTGCTTTTATCAGGATCAAATGGCCATAACCTGCAAATACACATTACCTTATGTCCATGCTAATAACAAAGAAACTCTTTCTTGTAACGGAATAATCTAAATTGTGGCCAAAGAAGTGTTTGCCGTTTATAGTGTAATCTGGCATGATATTATGTGATTATAGGCAATAATAGAAGCCTATTTTACTTGATTTGTGCCAACCAATCCAGTCCTTTTTAACAGGTGAAATATGAAGTAACATGTAGTTTCTGCCTCAAAATGACTTGATTAAATTCATGGTTGTTATATTTGACAGCTTATAGCTCATTCAGTCATTTTTACCTGTTGAAATACCTTTAAATGGCAAATAAAACCTATAAAATGCAGTTTTACACTTGCCAAAAGTGATTACAGACTCTACTTATTGAGTGAACTGTTCTTTCTACCTCAAAATGACTTGATTTCATTCATGGTTGTTATATTTGATAGATTATAGCTGATTCAGTCCTTTTTTACCAGTTGAAATACCTTTAAATTGGACAATAAAATGCTGTTTTCGACTTGCCAAAAAGTGACTACAGCCTCTACTTATTGAGTGAACTGTTCTTTCTGCCTAAAAATGACTTGATTTCATTCATGGTTGTTATATTTGACAGATTATAGCTCATTCAGTCATTTTTACCTGTTGAAATACCTTTAAATGGCAAATAAAACCCATAAAATGCAGTTTTACACTTGCCAAAAAGTGATTACATACTCTACTTATTGAGTGAACTGTTCATTCTACCTCAAAATGACTTGATCTAAATTCTAAAGACAAGACTTTAATGAATATTTTCAGCCATCAAACCAACTAACTTAGTTCATACCCATAAAGATAAGTCTTCAGGTGTACTATATACAATATACAAGTGTATCTACATTACACAGTAGTAGTAAGCTGAGTCATTTTAAACAATTACTAATACTATTGTATACATTTCACAATCATTTTTTTGGATTCCTCTTTTGTCTAATTCAGATTGGCTGTGACATCTGCCTACGGTGGTATCGGTCGCCGTGATTTTGCCAAGTAAGACATGTTCCTGGATCAACATTACTGTCCAAAAATATAGACTAAACCCAATCTCTACCCCTAAACCTATCCATAATTTATTCCTAAAATCAGTGTGAAATGATAGCTGATTAACAAGGGTGTAGAAGCACCTAACCCTGATCGTAAGCTTAAAACAGACATTTCCTGAAAAGTTATCCCTCAATTCTGATTGGTTAATTGGAATGTTGTTCCAGGATCAACAAGGATGTTGATCCAGGAACATGTTGTACTTGGTGAAATCACGCTCACCGGTGGTATCACAGGAGCTGCGCCAAGAGGCCCTGCACAAGGAGGACGAAAAAATGTATTTGCGAAGCATGCCAATGAACACACTACTACTGTGTAATGTAGATACACTTGTATATTGTATGTAGTTGTATATAGTTTATATCATTGTGTTGTTCTGACTCAGCATTTATTAAAATATCCTATGTTTCATTTATGCAAGATATGTCTGTAGGATACATGACACAAGAGTACTTCTAAATATGTACCTGTAATGAGAAATCATGTACATACTGTATATCTGCTGAATTAAGGCAGAGTACATCTGAAGACTTATCTTTATGGTTATGAGCTAAGTAAGTTGGTTTGATGGCTGAAAATATTTATTAAGTTCTTGTCTTTAGAATTTAGATCAAGTCATTTTGAGGCAGAAAGAACAGTTCACTCAACAAGTAGAGTCTGTAATCACGTTTTGGCAAGTGTAAAACTGCATTTTATGGGTTGTATTGGCCATTTAAAGGTGATAAAAGCAGCGATATACATGTAGAAACTGGGGCGATACAGCTTTAACTTGGTGCTCGCGCTCCTACGGACGGCAAATTTTCGGCAGACGATAAATTTTCAGCACGAGACCTGCTCTGAGCTGAGGCTATACCTGCGGTCTGTGTTAAGACACCATGACCCAGCGTCTTGTTGCCTTCTAAAATAACAGGGATTACGTAATCCTAAAACTTTTTGCTGCTACGCTTCTTTGCACTTCTAATCCTACCATGCAGATTATTGAATAATGATATCCAACACAAATTCATTTGATCACTTACACTAAACCCTGTTCCACCCCATCGTTTAAGCATATAAAAAAAAATTGTCCTCCATATATTCTTCCATACTGTGCCATTTTGATCTGTTTTATATTGTGTGCACTGAAATTCTCATACCATATCACCACACCTTCTTTTCTCTAAATTTTGACTTAAATGCTATAGAAGAAGAGGCAGTGCACTGTAAATATTGCTACAATTTTTAACATTAAATTTAACAATAGAGAAACATAGTTGCTGTTTAAAAAAATATTTAATTGGAATTACAGAATTACAGAATTTTTGTGGTTATCATCAAACATTGCACATAGAAAGTTAATAACTGTGGGATATTAAATGTATTTCTATCAGGGGTTATTATACAAAAATACATGCAATAAAAAATGACTGCTTCACGATAAACCTAGATATTCTTTCATATTTTCTTATCTTACTTGAAGTCAACAAAGCACACTACAAAAGACATAAAACAGTAACAGTATGTGTATATACATATATTTTCCCCCATATCATATGTGAAAAGATTTGAATAAATACATTGATTAAAAAGAAGGCAAACCTACATAAATCATTTTTTAAAATTTGTTCTTTACTGTCATATATTGAAGAACATTTAATGTCCATAGACATCAATGAAAGGTTCTTAACATATTTTTTAAAATGTTCTTTACATTAAGAAAAAAATTAAGTGTCTGTAGGAGTATCTCAGTTTAACATATTTCTGTCTTCAGTGTCAAACTATAGTATTATTTTAAGGGGTGGGGGTTTAATGCTTTTTCATGCATTCTGAGTTATTTACATTGTTAAACAGTTGGATTCTCATGCTAAACATGGCCAAAGTTTCAAAAAACGAGTTGGACGTATGACGGAGTATTTCTGTGCCAAATACACTCCTTCCAGGATCAGATACGTTTCAGAAAGTTCGCTGAATTTGCAGATCGTTTGATACTGAAAGATGGAGTGGTCCCAGCGATAAAAGATCCCGGTCATGAGTCGGAACCTCAGGCGGTAAGTAAAACTACATCAAACTTCTGTGTTTTGTTGACAATCGGCGCGTGAGTATGTAAAAAACACAAACGCTCTCGTGACCCTTTAGCTCTGCCCATGGCACGCCTCCAGGAGCTCGGCTGTTTTTGGAGAGAAGCCTAAAGCTGTATCTTTCTTTGTATTTTTTATTTTTAATCTGATAAAAATAAAAACTTTGAAAGAGATATGAAGGATGCAATACTACTATAGGTACTCAAGATTAACATGAGACTGGCCGAAACTGTTTGTGTTATGTCCCCTTTAAGAAACTAAGTGAGATGTGTATCCAGTTGTTTAGTTAATTATGAAAGAGTTTCATGCGCCTTTCCCTGCCATCTAAAAAAGTTTTACATGTTGCTGAGTTTAACGGCTCAACAACACACTGGTTCATTTTTCCCTTTCATAAAATCAGAAAAATGTTGTTGAGCTCAAATGCTGATGATGTCACAGTGATTAATATTGGTGGGCACGACTTATCACCCATTAACTCCATCCACATCCTCTTGGTTCAACAGCGGCATCTTTACAGTCGCTGATTCATTCACTTGTTTTACTGTGGATTCTGAAAGAAAATACAGACAATCACAGAAACTGAAAAGAGAAAAAGAAACAATTTTGCATGTACATCTACATATGGATAATGTTACAGCTACACAATCACAAAGAAGATGAGAGCTCCTAATTATACTGAAAATTACAGAAAGTCAAAGACAAAAATCAAGACTCAGTGAGCGCCAGAACATATTTTTACAATATGATATCTTGGTCTATTATTTACAAAAATTATTGAGACTATCATTTTAGTGTTGGCTTCAGAAGATGTAGTAGATGGAGGGGAATATTTTTAGAAGGGAAGATTTTAGTCTGTTCCTCACTAATGTGTTTTTTGAACATTAAAGAATGTCAACATATTCTGTTACACCAAATACACAAAATAATGATCTTTAAAATAGCATCATATGACCCCTTTAAGACTTAAGGACTATTTAACTATAATACTTCTATGGTGTTTTGTCTTTTTATTGATTGACAAACTGAACACAAACTGTTCCTGTTGGGATTAATTTTGTTATATTGCTCTAGTGTGACATTTCATGGAACCATTTTAACCTATAAAGAACCTTTTGTCCAATAGAAAGTTCCGTGGATGTTAACTGTTCTTCAGGGAACCATCAATGCCCATAGAGAACCTTTATTTTTAAATTTTTGTGTATTGTGTAAATAATTATTTAGCTGTTGAAATAAATATTGTTCTACTCACCAGTGACAGTCACCTTGAATCTCCTGAATGTGGTCTTTTCACTGTTGATGATCTGTAGTTTAAAATGTCCAGAGTCTGCGGTTTCTATTTTTCTGATGATCAGAGTTCCAGTCTTCTTGTCCAGCTTCAGTCTGCCTGTGAATCTCTTACCAATAGTCGTTCCTGAATCCGCTTTAATAACAAGACAGTTTTCAGCTCCAAACGTCCACATTATCTCATCAGCTCTCTGTATTTTAGTATCAGTCTGTAGAGTGACAGAACCTCCCTTCGCCACTGACACTTTCATCACTACATGTCAAAACACACAGAAACAGAAATACAGGAGAGAAAAATTCTAATTAGTTTAGTTTGCATTTAGATAAAATTCTAACTCAGTTTGGCATATTCGTAGATGACTTCATTTTCATTTTGTTTTGTTAGTCTTATCTTTGACAATCTCATCCTGTCAAGGAAGATATATAAAAATATAATAGAAGTAGATTATGCTGTAGTAGCCCATTTGACGCAATGGATATTTATCTTGAATCTTCACTGATGTCCAAAGAAAATCACTTCCTCTTAATGTTGGATTAAAAGAGATGTTAAAATAAACCTGTATAAAAATGTTTACTGTTGTAAGGAATGTGATCATTATATATGTGGTATATGTGTGGACTTATATTTAACATTTTAAATGTATATAAATCATGTCATTGGATGTCACAGGACAATTTCAAATAAATGCAAAGATATAATTTGCTACAGATAACCTTATTTATCTGAAGCATTTATCTCAAGGCCCCTTTCATTTTTATAATCTATTTCTATAATATGAGTTGCCTTCTAACGTTATGCTTGCAGTTTGGTTTATTATACCACAACAGTAAATGAGTGTCTTTATAGAAATTTTGTGATATATGTTATCTTGAAAAGGACAAATACAATTTTATATCCATTTTTAAATGGACAGCAATATACTGTATGTAATATTGTCAGGCAAATTGAAAAATGTGTTTTATTGGGGTATATTAAATTTAAATTACCTATAATCATTTCACAGAATTATATGTACACAATTGATAAAAAAAAGGCCTACTATAAGAAAACCATAGTTATACAAATGAACTAGATGAATGCATTTATTTCCATTCAAATGGATGGAAACCGATAGAAAAGGTTTAAAACAATCCTCATTCTGTGGCTAAACGTTTATCTCTTAAAGGTTTTGCAAGCATGGTCTAGAGCTGATGTGTGCAAAGTTTGGTGAAGGTCTGACAAACAACCTAGAAGGAGTTCGAAAAATAGTTATTTATACAAATTAGAATGTAGGATGAAGTTTTTAGATAATCATAAAAAAAATAATTTAATATTGTTCAGGCTTAAAGCAAGGATTCAGAAGAAAGAATTTTTATTCTGTCACACACGGGTGCTTATTATAGTGCCACCTTGAGGCCGATTTTCAATCTTCAATTCAAAATTCGGAACACATTCATTTTCACACAATGTACAAATATATCTATTTTTGTATTGGCAGGCCATCCAGATTTGATGTTATTAGCCACTGAAAATCTTCTGGCAGACGTTTTTTTTTAAGTATCTAATTCATAGTAGAGGATATGTTAAGATCTCATCCACCAAAGAAGATGCATACCAATTTTCAACCTCATTAATCATACAGCTGCAGAGTTTTATTTTTTAATTGTTGTGTTTTTGCTTGGACTCCTGATAAAAAAAAATTTAAAAAAGTAATTCAAATTTCATTGCACTTTGTCTTAAATTGAGATGATCTAATCTGTTCACACAGTGCAGTATCATTGATCTACTCACTTTTGACAGTGACAATGAATCTCTTGTTGATTCTTCTGGTTTCGCTGCTTATTTCTAGTATATAGAGTCCAGAGTGATTACTCATGGTGTTATTGATGGTGAGATCTCCAGTCTTATCATTCAGCACCAGTTTGCTTCTGAATCTTTTATCAAAACCATCAAATATCCCATTGGTCTCTCCATTGATTTCAGCAATGAGATCGTTGTCATCGTGATACCACCACTGTACCTTATCATCTTCCTTTAGGACAGTTTTAGTCTTCAGAGTGACAGAATCTCCATCTGCCATTGACACTTTCTCCTCTTCAATTGGTTCTGCAGTGAAATGTGTTCATGAGATCAAGCTAAACTTTACAAAGAGATTATACATCATTTTCACTTTGTGACATAAGGTGCTTTTATACTGTTTAACTGTTGTCCTTAAAAATGTGTGTATCAAATATGATAAAGTTGGCTTGAAAGCTGCAGGCAGCATGTATTTATACAAAAACTGCAATTGCAGAAGTAATGTTATGAAATTATTTAAAGGGAAATTAAAAATTAAAAATATCCCTTGATTTACTCGCCCTCAAGCCATCTTAGGTGTAGCAAATTAGCTCAAAGGAGAAAATATTAATAATTATTCATAACTCATAATTAATTATTAATATTTATATACCTTTAGGATTAACTGTAGCAGAATTCATTTTAAAACCGAATGATCTGTTCATCCACTGAACTGATAGTACAATCTTGTCAATCAATTCAAAGAAAGATTATTCTCCTGGCCAAGAAGGATAGCTTTCTCACTTGCATTGACTTTGATGCGGAATGAGAGTCTGAAAAATCAGGGAAGTTCAAGCGTAGCATGCTGGAGTTGGTCCTTGCTAGTCTTCCGGGAAGGAGTTGTGCCGCGGGTAATTCAAACAAAGTTAATTAGTGAGTAAAGTGCCATGAAGGTCAGAAGGCGTGTGTCTAAAGGAGAGTTCGGGTAGGGGTCTTCTGATGGTCCCCCAGTCACATCCATATTTGGTGGAATGGCCATTTACATTTTGTAACAGCTTAATTATGCCCTAAATAAAGAAAATGTATTTATGTGTGCGCATGATCATCAGTGATCCTATGCAGATGCTACATAGGTGTATATGGGTGCTTTCACACCTGGCCCGTTGTTTCGGAACCTGGCGCGTTTCCCCCTTAGCTCAGTTCGTTTGGGCATATGTGAACACGGCAATCGCGCTCAGATCCGTGCCAAAACAATCGGTCCGAGATCGCCTGAACGAGATGGTCTCGGCTCGATTGAAAACGAACTCTGGAGCGGTTCGGTTGTAGTGAGAAAGCAATCCGATCCAACGAACCAGGCTATAGCTCTCCAATGTATGATGGGTAATTACGTAAGTTCCGTGAAAAGCAGTAGACGGTCCCGGCGTCCCAATGTGCATACTATCCACCCTATCTGCCCTAAATAGTATTGAAAATTACTAATATCACATAGAATTTAGGATGGATAGTTTGCACATTGGGACTCAGGCGATGTCTGTGGGTGAGCACGTCTTCGCCATTCAAAATCAAAGCACACCTTTTCATTTTATAATGCCGTCTTATTGCTCTTCTTCGTAGTAACTGTTAGGTGCATTTTAAAAATGTTTTCCCGACGAATCTGGGACTCCTGTTCAAAATGATAAATTAATATAATGACAGTTACAAAAAAACAACAACAATAAGCCCTCGAAGCTGTTGTCGTTCCATCTTGACGGATGACAGCTATGAGCGAAATTCTAGAAAATAAACCGTGGAACTTTGACCAATGAGAGGACAGTTTACTCGCACGTGACTTGTATTAACAATTTTGGTCCGTTTAGAAACTTTGCCGTGTGAAAGCAAACCGCACCAAGAATAAAAAGCAACATTGTAATCATTTTAATCCCTGTTTCAGAACAAAGCAATCGATCTACAGGTGTGAAAGCACCCACAGTGACGAACATATTTGGAGTTACATTAAAAAATATAAAGCTTGGAAGAGCCGGGATATTTTTATATAACTCCGATTATGTTCTTCTGAAAGAAGATAGTCATATACACCTAGGATGGCTTGAAGGTGAGTAAGTCCTGGGATAATTTTCAATTTTGGGTGATCTATCCGTTTAAATACAAACTATTTAATGACACTTAGTGAGACAATGTAGGAAATCTGCCATTATTTGTATGGTAAGTTAATGTATGCACTCAGAATCAGGGTCGTTCAATAAAGCAAATATTTGTGTGTAAATTTGGTATATGAACATTTTCATGCAGGAATTTTGATTTAAAAAATAAAAATTTATGAACAAGTTTAGAGCCACATGAAAACATGCATGTGCACAAATCATATACTCCTTGTTTAATTGTTTATCTTGCTGTATCAGCTGTAATACTCACCCACTTGTTTTTCTAGTTCAGAGATCTTGTGGCGATAGTGAATCACAACAGAAGCTACAACTGCAGCCACAAGCAGAGCAGCAAAAACAATCCCTGCTATAAAACCTGGAGACAGACCTGAACCTGGAACAGCTAAAGACAGACTTGTGTGTGTAAACATACTTGGCAATAAAGCTCTTTCTTATTCTGATTCTTATACAGTGATTGTGATTATCTGAAAATACTGAAAAGATCATAAATAAATATACAAATTAAGTCCTTTGGTCACTGCAGTGAAATATTTTATTTTTATATTTGCATTTTTAATTTTAGTTTATGTTTTTAGTAATTTAGTAAGCTTTTTGTCTTTTTTTTTTTCTTTTAGTTTTAATATAGCTTTTAATTATTTTAATTTCAAGATTTATTTATTTTAAGACTTAAGCTTAAACTTATTTATTTCAGCTACACTGTTGTAAAAGTTGTAAATAAAACCAAGATTACTGGAGTACTTTTTACATTTTTCCACATTTTATGTTGAATTCAATGTGATACTTGCCATTTTTTGTAAGTGCTTGTGAAATTTACTAGCAATTTCTGAGTGAATATTGTTTCTAAACCAATTTTGTGTGTGTGTGGGGGGGGGTTCATTAAACGTATATCATTTATTTTATTTCAGCTTTATTTCAACTACCAAAACACTTTTTAATAATTCTAGGCTTATTTAACAATAACAACACTGAAATCGACTGAAAACTTTTGTGCGATTTAAACTATATAATAAAATCTCATTTGAAAAGCATCATATCATCATATCACCCAGTCCTGTCAATTATTTGTATCTGTAACCATATAACAGTTGAATAAGTTAATCAAACACCAAGTATTCCTAATTGGTTCAAGTATCTAAATGCTGACCTAACTAAAGTCTGTCAATACTTTGAAATGCTTGCTTTATAAAGACTCACCACTGACAGAAAGAAGGAATCGCTGTGAGCTCTCGCTGCCTCTGATCTGTACTTCATAAAGTCCAGAGTCTGTGGTTCTGGTTTTCTTGATAGTCAGAGATCTAGCTTCATCGAGCTTTAGTCGGTCTCTGAATCTCTCATCAGCATCGTTTAATGAGGTCTCGTTAGTTTCCACATCAATTTTAGCCAGGAGGATGCCTTTATCGCCAAACCTCCACACGATCAGATCATCTCTCTGTACTTCAGAAACATCACTCTGTAGAGTGACAGAATCTCCCTCCATCACTGACACTGACTTCACTCCATCTGTCTCACCAACCACACCAGGAAAACAAACCAAATCAGAGCTGGAATATTTTAACACTGCTTTTACAGTACAGTTTTACAGCAAGTGACTAACCAATGACAGTAATATTAAATATCTTCGTCTTAGTCTTTTTTCTAGAGATGGTGAGTTTATATTGTCCTGAGTGTTTGATTCTGGTGTTTCTGATGGTGAGAGATCCAGTCTTCTGATCCACCTGCAATCTGTCTCTGAATCTCCCATCATCAGTGACATAAAATGAAGTCAGATCACGCTGTCTTGTTATTTGAGATATGATGGAGTCTTTAGGTCCAAACAGCCACAGTATAGTATCATCGTTCAGTACTTCAGTAAGATTTGTGTGCAGAGTAACAGAATCTCCCTCCATTACTGACACTGTCTCATCTGTTTCTGCACCAAACGCACCTGCAGAACATAAATGAACAATTATAGATATACTAGTGACCTCCATTTCAAATGAAAACACTGTCTGAGACAGATACTGCATTACTGTTCAGATTATGATACAAAAATTTGAAAATTAAAATATAAAAGTGATAATTATTGTAACCATAAGTTCTTCAATGTGGCAGATAGTGTGGTCCAAAAGGGTTACGTCACATTAGCTAAACATCACTGTAACCTTCAACACTGACTGAACTGTGTTTATTACCAGCACAGATGTAAACATACTAGTGTATGTTAGGCTAAATTTTGAAATCTTTTATTTCACTTATCAGATCAACTGTCTGTTAATGGAGAAAAAGACTGCTAACTTAAAGAGTGACGTTGTTTAGGAAACCTAAGCTTATGGAAGCTTGTTTTGGGCAATTAATAAAAAATAATCACACAATTCTGACTTTTTTTCTCACAATTGTCAGTTTGCATCTCGCAATTCTAACGTCTTTTCTCACAGTTTAATGATATAAACTCACAATTCTGACTTTTTCTCAGAATTGCATGATATAAACTCACAATTGTGAATTTTTAGTCAGAATACACTCGCAATTGTGAAAAAAGGCAAGATTGCGGGTTCAGGCCTATATCCTGCAATTCACAATAGCACCCTATTTGGTTACACTTTACTTGAAGGGGTGTGCATAAGACTGACATGACACCTTCATAATCATGACATGACACATGTCATGAATATGAAGGTTTTTTATGCATGTTTATGACAACTGTCATTAAGTGTAATTCGCTGTTATGTAATTTTTAATGCAAAGATGACATTGTTTGAGATGTCTTTGTTATGGGCTAAGGGTAGGGGTAGGGGTAGGTTAGGGTTAGGTCAAATAATATCATCTTTGCATTAAAATTTACATAACTGAGCGAATGACACTTAATGACAGTTGTCATAAACATGCATAAAACCTCCTTCATATCCATGACATGTGTCATGTCTTGATTATGAAGGTGTCATGTCAGTCTTATGCACACCCCTTCAAGTAAAGTGTTACCCTCTATTTTGAGTTTATATCTTCCAATTCTGTGAAAAGTCAGAATTGCGAGTTTGCCTTAAAATTCTTTATTTTTCACAATTGCAAGTTTATATTGCGCAATTCTGACTTTATAACTTTATAACAAGTTAATATCTTGCAATTCTAAGAAAAAAGTCAGAATTGTAAGATATAAATTTTCAATTATGAGTAAAAATTCTGAATTGCGAGTTATGTCTTAAAATTCTAATTTTATTTCTTGCAATTCTGAATTTATACTATCGCACAATTCTGACTTTATTTCTTAAATGCAAATTTATATCTTGTACATTTTTAAGAAAAGCAAAAGTCAGAATTGTGGGATGTAAACTTGCAATTTTGAGGGGGAAAAAGTCATAATTGTGATATAAAAAGTTGCAATTATCTTTTTTTTTTTTTATCCTTGGTGAAAACATGTTTCCATAGTAAACCTTCAAACCCTAGAGATCTGTGATGCATAGACTTTATTCAGTCCACAGAAAGTCAAATATATAATTGAAAATTATCTATACATACTCATCTAGCCTATGGTGAAGGCATTATGTCAATTAAACAATTTGGGGTAAATATGATGGAAGTGGTGCTCTCTCTGCTTTCCATTTAAGATTATTTTACTTAATACTTAATCTTCTGTATCTTGCAGTGTTCAATATTCAACATAGGCTATACATTATCACAGCTGCATGCCAAGATTCTTTCAACAAAATGTGAAATAAAATGTCAATCAGCAGCAAATGAAATTTTGTCAGTTGGTGCTGAACACCTCTCCACTGCTAATATTGCATATGTCATCAAACCCACTGTATTAATACAGACACATTCCACATTTTCTTGACAGTTTTTATTATTTATTTATGTTAACACAATTGCATACAAAGTGCGGAATTATCTGCTCGACTGTATATAGTATTCGCCAATAAAGTGTAGGTAGGCTGAATTTGGTTCTCCATTTACCTTGGTACATTAAACCACATTAAACATTTTCTACTGCGTCTTGCTGCAGAACACAGGATGTGCGCGTGAACATATACATACATTTTCAGCAGATGTCGACGGCGACTGATTCAAGTGGGATTGGAATGCATAACGGTGCTTGCATTGATGTTTAAAACAAAACCAAAAGTAATTTCAACTTCAAAAACAGAAATCCACTTACCGTCCAAAAGCAATAAGAAAAGAGACTGTAGTAACATTCTCTGTTTGTTTTTGTAGAGCTGTGTAGATTCCGAATGCAGCTAATACAGATAATCAATGAAGATTTAGGCAAGATATAATTCGGTTCCTCTAATCTCCACTGTTTTCGTCATTCATGAGCCGCACCTAAGTGGCTACAACTGCGAATATCTCACAAAAACACACTAAACTAACAGAGAGACAAGTGAGAATCGCGGCTTTTCAAAAAAATATGTGAGTGACACTTTAGCAGTGCGTTTATCCTTGAGAGATAGTGAAGAGTCGAGCAGGCTTGCTGTAGAGTAGACAGACCCATCAGCATCCGATAACAATAGCCCCGCCCCTTATTGAACTTGGTAAACGGGGTAGGCTACCCAGATAGCAAAATACACTCAGGCCAGTTCCGGTGTCCTGACATTTTATCCTACCCGTCAGACTGTCCTACCAGGGTTTACTGCGCATGCGATATCGCGTCCTTTTTCCTCACACTGAATAACAATATTTAATGTATCTGCATTACTGTAAGGGTAGGTTTAGGGTTGGGATAGGTGTAGACTTTAATAAAACACAATCTAATAGGTAAAAAAAAAAAATTTATTGTTGGTTTCCTGTAGCTGTATCCCTTCTAGCTACAACCACATCATTACTGTATTTCCATTACTGTAAGGGTAGGTGTAGACGTTAATAAACCATAATTTTATAGGTAGCATTTTTCATTGTCGAATTGTAGGCTACTACCCACTCTTTTATTGGGGAGTAGCAAAATCTGACTGGGTACCCAGCAAGCAATAGCCATCATTTCAACGTCTCGGTTAAGTATAGGTCATTAGAGGTATGGGTATAAACACACAACATTTGCCAGAGAGCTTCTCTCTTTTTTAACACACTGAATAGTGATACACTATATATATATATATATCATTTTTGTTTTTAGTAGGCATACAAGCAAAAGAGAATGACTCCCTGTCACAATTAGTGTAATTAAAGTAAAAAATTATGTCAAGCTTTTCTTGTGCTTTTTTTTTTCTTTCTTATTTGGCAGATGCTGTGATGACCAACTTCATGGCAGCAACAGAGTTGGACTTGAGGAATGCAGTTGGGAGGCATGTTTCACTGATAGCCCAAATTTAGCCTCGTTTTAGCCTAGACGTCTAGGCTATATTTAGACGTCTGATAGACGTCTTTTAAACGCAAAATTGCTTGCTGGGTGATGATTCAATCGAATAGCATCATGCAGCGCTTCTGTGAAAAGAGAAAAACAGAAATTAAGTCTGAGTCTAGCCTAAAGGAACACAGCTTATGAAAGGAGCATGTTTTAAATTAAGTTGTTATTTTTTAATAAAAAAAATGTACTGTATGTGTATGTTAAAAATACCATTCCGACAGCAACAATGATCCTGAACTAAATGAAGATTAATGTCTTGGGTATGATGTGTTTATTGGACCAATCAGATAAGAGTAACTGG